ACAGCACAGCTGTGTGGTCACAGCACAGCTGTGTGGTCACAGCACAGAGGTCAGCCCCAGGTGCCTTTATTTCATGCTCTGATGGTACCACATGAGGCACCTGTGGCCTTTAAGCCTCTGGAGAGTGGTGCAGCTTCCCGCCTGTGGTTCCATTTTCCAGTTCAGTGACTTTAAACCAGCATTATGACTTTTGATTGAACATAAGCATGAAGATGGTCCTGAAACACTCCAGAGGTTCAATTCTTGGTCCTTCCTAACTTTGCTCCTCAGGTTCAAAGCCAGTCATTTCTTTTTCCAGTCAGGCTGTCTGTGACTAAGCTGTCCCTCCTGCCACACCTAGAGAGTGTTTTAAACATTATTTTATCAATCCCCTCCTTTTTTCCTAAAAACAACCCACAAATAGTGGATCCAGAACTTGGGGTGGAGGGGCAGTCACAGGACCCAGTGAAGAAGGGAAACCAGAAAGTAGTGACTAGGCTAGGAGCAGAGGAGCCCAGAGAGAAGTCTTCCATGTAAAAAGGGGCCTGGCTCTACCTGAGTCAGCTTGAGTTCAGGATGCTGGGAGCCCTAGGGCAGGCAGTTTGAGGGTCATAGCCAAAGTCAGGCATCTGGATAGTTCTTGTGTGAATAGAGATGAGCATTTCCAAATAGGAACAGCCAAAAACTGTTCACAGGGTTGGAGTGGGGTCATGCAAAACTAAAGAAACCCAACTCCAGCAGGGGAATGCTTCATTTCAGCTCATGGCTTCTTTCCCTGGTTTCTTGGCCTGTGTGACCATTAGATCATGGTGGCAACAACACACAGCAGAGGAAGGCAATTTGCCTCATCAAGGCTGGCCAGAAAAAGGAAAGAGGGAGCAACCATGGTCTTACTACACCCTTCTAAGTGCTTCTTCCTTAGTGGCCTGACTTCTTTCCATGAAGCCCTACTTCCTAAGGAATACACCATCTCCCACTGCGCAGGCTGGTGACCAGGGCCATAGCACATGGGCCTGAGGGGACGTGGCCTGTGATAGCCACGTGAATTCCACTTAAGAGTTCCAGGAGTGGGGTACCAGGAAGGAAGCAGCAGAAGCAAGGATGTATCGCAGGTCCCGAGGGACTAGTGGAGTCAAGACTTTAAGGGACATCTTTCCCTTTTGACTGGTGATTGGTCTTTAGGGGATAGGGGCTTTTCTTTTTTTTTTCTTTTTTCATTTTTATTTATTTTTTGGTTTTTTGAGACAGGGTCTCTTTATGTAGTCCTGGCTGTCCTGGAACTCACTCTGTAGACCAGGCTGGCCTCGAACTCAGAAATCCACCTGCCTCTGCCACCCAAGAGGTTTCTGCTACCTTGAATATACTACCCTAATCTATGACAAGTGTTCCATGTCCTCTCTATCCCGATCCATGGTCAGTGCTCCATGTCCTCTCCATCCCAACCCATGGTCAGTGCTCCACGTCCTCTCCATCCCGATCCATGGTCAG